GATAGATTTAGACTCTTGGCTCTTGGCGCCCCCACGTGTCTCAGAACAGAACTGTGCTCCATGGAATTTTTCCAAGGCTAATTTTTTTTATTTTTTTTAAAGCAGGTCATTAGATTGTTCCTCTGAAGGGCCTCTGGGCCAAGTCAACTGCCAAATTCTCAGTTAGCAGCCATGCACATTAATCATTTGTCCCACCTTATGCGAGTTGTGAAATGGAAGAGCAGAGCTGCTGCACTGGGTTTTCCTGGTGGCAATCTTCATGGAACCAGAGCCTTCTTTCCAGCAGCTGCTAGGTGGGTTTAGACCCCTAATGTTTACATTAACAGCCACTCACCTGCGCCATCTAGAACCCTTGAACGTTGTAAAGCATCACATTAAATGTCTGGAAATCTCTTCAAGCTCATCTTGATTTAGAGCCTCAGAAAATAGTGTTATTGCTTCTAAACAAGGGTTTAAGCATCTCTAGTAGAGTGTGGAGGTGTCAGATAGAAGTGGAGAAGAATGAGAATCTCGGAAAACTTAATTGTACTCATGTAAAAGCTATACCTAGATCAAGAAGCTGCTGTCCAGAAGGAACAAGGGATTTTAAACTGCACGGTTTAAAATCAGGAAGAATGTGCATCAGTGATATGTCCTTTATCCATATCTATCTAATCTGTATGCTGAACAAATGAATCATCAAGCCAGAATCTATGAAGAAGAATGTGGCGTCAAGATTAAAAGAAGACTCATCAATAACCTGCATTATGCCGATGACACAACCCTACTTGCTAAAAGTGAGGAGGACCAGAAATGCTTGCTGCAGAGGATCAAAGATTACCGCCTTCAATATGGATTGCATTTCAATATCAAGAAAACAAAGGTCCTCACCACTAGGTCAATAGGCCACATCGTGATAGATGGAGAAACTGTCAATGATTTAAAATTACTTGGATCCACCATCAACATCCTTGGTACCAGAAATCTGGACATCATGAGATGTATTGCTTTGGACAAGTCCGTTATCAGGAAATTCTCCAAAAACACTGAAGAATGATGATGTCAGTTCGAAGATTAAGTCTGTGCTCTTTTCAGTCATTTGCTATGCTTCTGAGAGCTGGACAATCAATAAGGATGACAGAACAAGAATTGATGTCTTTGAGTTGTGGTGTTGGAGAAGAGTACTGAATATCACATAGACAGTCAAAAGAATGAACTCTTGGAAAAGGTGCAACCCAAGTGCTTCTTGGAAGCAGAGAAAGGTGGAGGGTCAGCAAAAGAGAAGATGACCTTCAATGAGGTGGGATGACATGGTGCCTGCAGCAATAGGCTCAAGTGTATCAGAGAGGATGAGGATGGCACAGGCTGAGGGGAGTTGTACTTGACATCACCTAACTACAACAGGGAGCTCTAATGAGTGGTAAGGTGTTGTGCTACCAACCCAAAAGTATGTGGTTCAAATCCATCAGCTGAGAAAAAAAAATCCATCAGCTGTTTGTCAAGAGACAGATGGACAATCTCCTCCCAAGTAATTTGCTGCCTCTGAGGGTCAGCTGTGAGTTGGTTCCTACTTAGAGGCATACAGCAACAGCTCAGGAACATTCATTTGAAGAGAAATGCTGCCATCTGCTGGAATGGGAAGTCAGGGGCAAGTGTAATGACAGATGCTAACTGAAAACAGGAGACACTTCTTGAGAGGTGCTGTTTAAATAAGTAACGTCTTTTCTTTCATGTTGTGAAAGCTCCTTATACAAATATATTCACATAACAAGATGTAGGTATATTACACCTCTTGGTCTAATTAGTTACAAATACGTCATAACAAGGCACTGAAGAGATTTCTAATTGTTCTTAGACTTTAATACTCTTTTACTATTTAAATTTTCCAAATAAAAATAATTTTAAAATACCCATAGTGTGATAAGACTATTGATGGGATTAAAACCTCAAACTCTTAGCTGTCGAGTTGGAATCAACTCATAGCTGGCCTTCCATTAGGTTTCCAAGGCTGTAAATCACATAGGAGGAGATTGTCCATCATTCCCTAGAGAAAACATTGGTGGATTCAAGCAACCAGAGAAAGTGCTGCCATTGGGTTAGCGGCACAACTAACCACGGACGAGGCCACAAGTGTCACCCAGAATAATTATTTATAACTCATCTGTGCTCAGTAATGCCAGAATCCCAAGGTCAGCTCTAACATGTGTATTAACTCTGAGAAAATTGCTTACCCCTTCTGGGCCTCAGTTGCCTCATCTGCCAAAGTAAATAGAATTAGGTGAAATCTAATAAGGTCCTACAACTTTACCCAGAAAAATGTATTGAAAGACCATCCAATGCCAGCCATGATCCTACAATACTAACCAGGCATGGTAAAAGCGCCTGCTCTCATCAGCGCAGTTCTAGAAGACATCCACAATAATACCGGTGACAACACCACTTTCTATCCACCTTCCCTACAGAACCTGAAACCACGCCCTCTTGTCCCTGCTCTCCCTGTCTCCGTTAGCTTCTGTCCCACCCTCCTTGGCCACCACCTCAGAGAGATGCTTTTCAGGCCACTTTCTTTGGCCATTTTTCCTTTCCTTTCAGCTCAGCCTGCCCTCTTCATTCCCCCACCCCGACCCCTCTCACATTGTTGTTGCTGTTTAACCAAACTTATAAAAAACAGACCCAAACCGTGGCCTATCCTGTATCCTCTCACACACACTTGAACCCATTGCCGTGGTCATTGTATCAATCCATCTCGTTGAGGATCTTCCTCTCATTCATTGACCCTCCACCTTTCCAAGCATGATGTCCCTTTCCAAGGAGCAGCCCCTCCTAACAACATCCCAAACTATATAAGACGAAGCTTTGCCATCTTCGCTTCTAAGGAACACCCTGGTCACACTTTCTCCAAGACATATCTGTTTGTTCTTTTGGCAGTCCATGATACACTCAGTACTCCTCGCCAATACCACAACTCAAAGGCATAGATTCTGTTTCTGCCATCCTTTTTCATTGTACAGCTCTCAGATGCCTACCAGGAGACTGGAGAAATCATGACGTGAATGAGAAGCACCTGAGTCTTTATTATTCTTGCTCGTCAGGACTCTGGAGTACTGTCCCTGACATCTGCCTTTTCCAGTGCTACACATCTCCTGATATCCTGACTGCTGGTACCAAGGGTGTTAATTATGAATTCAAGTAAGATGAAATTGTTGACAATTTCAATCTTATCTCTACCTCTAACACTCAGTGTTGAGTGGAAAGTGACTCAAAGCTCACACATCATTAGATTTTTTTGAAGCTGTAAATTGCACAGGAGATTACCCATCTTTCTCAGGGGATTCGTGGCCTTTGGGTTAGCAGTACAATTAATTCCCCATGGGCTATGCCACCAGAGCTCCATATATCATATTTACAACAGTGATGGTCTCCATTTATGTTTTCCATTTACCAGCAACTGTTCTGTTGTCATTATATGAAGTTGAGTCACCTGTGACTCTTAGAGACCCTATGTACAATGGCTCTGAAGCTTGCACTTGCACTGTCCTGAGTCAGTCTCATTGACTCCAACACACCTACCTCAATTGCCCTAGTTCCTGTATCAATTCATCTCATCTGGGGTCGTCCTCTCCTGCACTGTCCCTCCACCCTTCCAAGCATGATGTCCTTCTCCAAGGACTGGTCCTTCCTGGCCACATGCCCAAAGTATGTGAGACAGAGCCTCAACATCCTAGCCTCCAAGGAGAAACTTGGTTTCACCCTCTCCAAGACAAACCTATTTGTTTTCTTGGCATTCCATGACTTTTCTCCAGCACCACAAAACTCATTGTCCAGCCCTCTGATGCATAGCGAGTAATTGCAAAGACCATGGCCTGGATCAGGTGCACTTAGTATCTAAACTAACATCGTTGCTTCTCAGCACTCTTGAAAGGTCCTGACAGCAGATTTTCCTAGTGCAAAACTGAGCTCAGAACCTTCTCATACATATTCTTCCACTTGCATTCTCTAGCTCAGTTAATTTTACTTTGGTTATCCCAGTGTCTAAAACAATTACTTAAGAATCATTCTCAATTCTGTCAACTTTACTTTCTTTACCCTTTACAGTCTATTCTTTTCATCAGTACCAATACTTGGGCATTAGAATTAGTCCTCTAGCCTCCTTTGAGTTGCTTATGTCGCCATCTGCTTTTGACTGAGCATTCATTCCAAATGTTTTAGCCTGACACATAGCCCAGCCCCTTTCTAATCATGACCATAAATTTCTTAAAAACAGAAATCATGGTATCTTTTTTTATCTCTGCATTTAGCATCACATATTCAGAGGGGTTCCCCCCCATTTATCATTGAACACCAGATGTATTAGCAATACATATTAAATAAGGTATTGAATTAAATGTTTCTGTCATTCTACAAAGAAACAGAAGACCCTATGGTAAAAACTATAAAACTGCTAGGATCACATTTTTTAAATACTTTTTTTCCCCCTCTAGGGATCTAAGTGTTTCCAAATTTGAGGTCTCAGCCTCAGTTGCCATATCTGTTATTCACAGGTGACTCGACAGCACATAACAACAGTGATATAAGATACCTGCTCTGTAGTTTGTTGCTAATTTACCTTCCGGTAAATGAGACCCTACTATATAGCTGATGGTACCCTTTAACAACCACACTTAGCTTTTAAAACTTTATAACAGCCTGCAAAAGATAATGATGGTATATTCCTAGGGTCTAGATGAAAGTCAAGAATTACTCACTCAAAATTAGAAGTTAAAATAATGAACTTAATATAGACCAAACACTATTATATTTAAGATAACAAATATCCTGAAGCAATACCCAGGGATGTCAGACATTAATTATAAAAATAAAATCTCCCAATTATACATAATTTTGGGCTAATCTGAATGATGCCGTTTTTCTTTTGGCATGTAAAGCGCAAGTAGCAACACCCCAATAATTGGGTATAAAAGCCCAAAGAAACTATGAGCACACAATGTTCTGTTCTCCCTCAACGCTGTCCCTGCAGACAAGGTGAACATTCTCCTAAGACCATGTCTCTCCGATTTTCTAGCGGATCCAGGCATGTTTGCTTACGATCTGGAACTGGATCTATCAGACCACCCAGTGGAGGGGCAGGCTTTGCAGGCAACAACGCATGTGGTAGCTCTGCTACCGGAAGTGGTTTTTCCTGCGCCCTTGGTGGGGGTTTGAGCAATGTGTCTGGTGGAAGCCATACTGCTGGAGCCCTTGGAAATGCAGCTTGTGTTGGCTTTGCTGGAAATGAAGGGGGACTGCTCTCTGGAAATGAAAAGGTGACCATGCAGAACCTCAATGACCGTTTGGCATCCTACCTGGATAACGTGCGGGCTCTGGAGGAAGCAAATGCCGAACTGGAGAGAAAAATCAAGGGTTGGTATGAAAAGTATGGTCCTGGATCTTGCCGTGGACTTGATCATGACTACAGCTTATACCACATGACCATCGAGGATCTTAAGAACAAGGTGAGAAATTGCAGCTTTGAAACTCTTCAAATTAAAAACTAAGAATTACTTAGCCAAAGATATAGAAATGTACCTGGAAACCATTGTAGTTTCTATTGAATTATATTTCTTTCTTTCCATGAATACTTATTATTACTAAAATAAGCCTTTTCCTTTATAAATTTCAATGTCATTCAACTGCTACTAGTCCTGCTACTCTACCAAAAAGCTAGAAAATCTGTATTCACCCAAGGTCAGCAGAAGTTTTCCGAAAACTGAGTCACTGGCAACCAACTCTACAGAGCGTAATTCTACCTGGATACACATGGGGTCACCATGAGTCACAATCAACTTGATGGTAGCTAGTAACATTGCTCCAGTTTAACTGTTTGTTTTGAAATATATTCATAGATACAAGAAAATGCTGCATTCTAAGAAATGCATGCATTACGTGAGAAGTAAAAATCACATCCATACATTTTAATTGCAATTTACAAAATTTTATTGTTACCTAAGGAAGTAATTTTGTTCTGCAAAAGGTTGGTTGTGTAACATTCTGGTGGCTGAACTAGGGGTAAGGAGTTGAACTGCCAAACCAAAGGCAGACAGTTCAGATCTACCAACTGCTTCATGAAAGAATGATGGGCAGTCTCCTCCTGTGTGATTTTACAGCCTTTGGCAACCACAAGAGGGTTAGCTATGAGTAGATTCCAACTCAATAGCACATGACAATAACAACAACAACAACAACAACAAAATAACCAATTACAAGAGCAAATTTATCTGTTGTGTTCTCCCTTCTCATCTATTCTAGATTATCTCTTCCACTACTGCCAACGCCAATGTCATTCTGCAAATTGATAACGCCAGACTGGCTGCCGATGATTTCCGGCTAAAGTAGGTGATTGAAATGATTGGGATTTAGGAAAAATATCCTTGCTATTTAATCTATTCAATACAATTTCAATTGACTGTTAAGTAAACTATAACTCCAAAGAGAACAGCAACCAGATATTTCTGTTCTAAGATCTTGAATCAAGTATATTTTAAATTTTTGCTTATTTATTACATTCTTGGACCAAAATATCAATGCCTCTCTATGCCTGCCTGAAACAATGCCAACTACAAATTATATGCTTAATAAATATTCACTAAGTAAAAAATATTAATTAAAAGAAAATCTAAAAATAAGGTTTGTTTGTTTTTTTTATTTTGTTGGAACATGCTATGGAAAGTGTGGGTTGAATAGTAGTTGATGATTCTTCATGGAATTAGGTAGGGGGTCAAGGAATTAATTTTGTTTATTTCTATCATGAATTTGCATGTCATCCTTGTGTAATGGCCATGATAATCTTCTCTGTATCATTCCAATTTTAGTATATGTGCTGCCAAAGCGAGCACAATTTATTTCTCTCATGTATAGGTCCTAATTCAGTTTTCAATATCCATTTAAAGCAGTTGAGGTTTCATTTCTCAATACCTCGAGGCAGTCTAACCCATGCTGCAATTCGTTTACTGTCCTGTAAGGTATGAGAACGAGCTTGCCCTTCACCAAAGTGTTGATGCTGACATCAATGGGCTGCGGCGAGTCCTGGATGAGCTGACCTTGTGCAGGACTGACCATGAGCTGCAGTATGAATCCCTGAGTGAGGAGATGACGTATCTAAAGAAGAATCATGAGGAGGTAGGAGAAGCTTGACGTCAAAAGCTTTACATCAAATCATAATTCTACACACCTCTACACGTTTTTGAGTGTACCATCAAATCAGATCTGACTGGTACAGGAGGGGATTGTCCCTCCTTCTGCGGCAGAGCACCTGGTGGATTTGAACCGTGCGCCTCTGGGATTGCAGTGCAGCTTCTTGCCACTAGGCCACCAGAGCTCCCCACCTCTACACGTTTTTGTGTTTTACAATAACAGTAGTAATTTAGGGTCACAATGATAACTCAAGCAGTGCCAGGGCACAAAACGAATTCCCTTTCCCCCCCTTTCTGTCCCTTTAATCCTACCCCTCAAGTAATAAATATTAACAATTTCATCCTTATACTTCTATTTAGACTGATACAATACCCATTTGCAAATAATACATCATTATCAGCATTCATAAAACCAACTTTCTTTTATTTTTTTAATAATTTTAATGAACATTTACAGAGAATTTGGATTTCCATTCATTCATTGCTGCACTTCTCTACCCGCCCAGCCCTCTCCCC